GGTTTTCACGTTTTGCCACCCACCTTCCAGGCGGGGTCTGCCTCCAGCACCCAGCAGCCCGTGGACACTCGCACGTCCTCGAGCATCTCCCCGTGCCAGCACTTCTCTGGCACACATCCCCAGGGGTGGAACTGCTGTCGCTGTGACGCCCGTACCTTCTCCGGGAAAGGCGCAGTGGCCTCCCCCCGCCAGCGAGGCTTCGGGATGCCTTCGTTTCCAGATCTGGGCCACTCCGGCATTCCCCAGCCTACTAATATTTTCCGGTCTAATTAGGTATAAGACACCTCGCCGTTTTAAATTGCATTCCTTGTCCCCGTTTGGGGGGGAGAATTGAAGCTTCGGAGCAGTAATGTGCCCAGAGGCTCTCAGCTATGGCTTTGCCCACCCGCTCTGGGCTCGGGCTGGGGCCCAGCGGCCCTCGCTGGGCTGAGGACTCCACCAGCGCCCCGGTCAGTCTCTGGCGGGTGCAGCTCTTCCGCTGGGCTCGAGCCCCACCTGGTGGCGCTGAGTGGGAACTGCCACTGTGTCGGGCAGGGGAAGGCGGGGAGGGGAGGGGAAGAATCCGAACTGCCTGGAACTTTATTTTTTGAGATATAATTGACAAAGACCATGATATGAGTTTCAAGTGTACAACATACATTTTTTTTCTTGGGATGAGTTTTCAAGATCCATTCTCTTCGCAACCCCCAGGTATCGGCCACCGTGCCGCACGCTGCGTGCCCAGGCCTTCATCTCGCGGCTGAAGTCCATATCCCTTTGTCCTGCAGCTGGAGTCCGTACCCCCCGGACCACCGAACCGCCTCCCTTCTGAGGTTCCTATTGTTTCTAGCAAACAAAACCAGAACTCTGCTAGAAAAACATTGAGGGTACTTTTAAAAACCCTCAAGTGCACAGGTCAGTGAATTTTCACAGGTGAACCCCTGTGTAACCTGCACTCCAGGTGACCCACCGGGGTCCCACCCACCACAACACGCCCTCCCCCAGGGGCGCCACCCTCCTGACTGACACTGTTGCCACGTGCGCCTGGCTGGCTGCTGTGTAAGTTCTTTTCCACCTTGCTCCTTTTGCATGGTACAGTGCGTGTGGTTCATGCACCCACATTGTGCGTTTGGTCTCGTTTTTATACATTATCCCTCCTACTGCAGTATCTTTGCTACCGTTGATGGATATCTGGAGTGATTCTGTGTTGGCTCTGTTACGGCAAGCAGCCGTCTCTCGGCGCACACACACGTGCGGTTCCGTTAAGTGTGCGTCCAGGGATGGAAATACTGGCCTATAGGGCAGGTGTGACTTCTGCTCTGGCTGCCACTGCCAGCTTTCCGGAGTGGCTGTGCCAGCATAGCCCGCTTCGGAGTGGGGACTTCTGGCCGCTCCCCACCTCATTCCGAGCCATTCTGCTGGGTGTTCCTGTGTGGTATTGCCTTGAGTTTTTAATTTGCATTTTCTGATGACTAATGACATTGCTTATGTGTACTGGTCACTTGACTAACCCCTTTTGTGGCATGCCTACACAAGAGCTTTGCCCGTTTTTCTGTTGAGTTACCTGCCTTCTAAAAAACTGATAGGAGTTAAAAATGTCATCTGGTTATGAGCCCAGATACATCTTCTCCCACTCGGGTCACTGGCTTCTTCACTCTGCGATGTCTTTTGACAAGTAGAAGTTCTTACTTTTAATATAACGTAATTTATTAATGTTTTATTATTTTTTTGTGTGTGTTCTGTTTAGAATTCTTTTGCCTACCCCAAGGTTCTGAAGGTTGTCTCTTCTAGAGCTTGCACAATCCGCATCCATCTGGAATTGATTTTTGCATATGCTAGGAGGCAGACGGTCAATACTTTTTCCATATGGATATTTAATTGACCAGCCTGATTGAGTGAAGAGGTCGCTGTGCCACCATGCCGCCTTCGTCATAAACCAGGGGGTCTGTGCCTGTGTCACTCTGCTCCTGGTATGGGCGTGCCTCTGTGTCTGGTGATGAGGGACTTAGAAAATGCAGTGTGGCTGCATTCACGAGGTCATTTCGCAGTTGGTGCTGCCGCCCGTGGACCCGGCTCAAGGCTGCAGGTGGACACCCCCTTCTCAACGCTCTCTGTGAACCTTGGGGTTCACTGTAGGCTCATGTGGCCAGAACATCAGGAAGCTGAATCAGAGGCTCCATGTGCCTGGGGACTACAGAGAGCGCCCACGTGGAGGTTGCAGCTGGGGTGGGGCAGCCCCCTCCTGTGTTCACCTCCCTCCCTCCTCCCCCGCTTCCAGTCATGGACATCTGGAGGCTGACAGGAGGGGTTCCCACAGCAGCTCCCCCTGGGGGGCTGGGAGCCCGTGGCTCCTCCTGCCTGCGGAATGGCACCGTGGGTGCTGGTGGCATCTCCCATCCGACCAGCCCCGGCTGAACCCTGGCTCCTACCTTCCTCTCCCTTGCTCCCCCATCTCATCTCAGGCACCCAAAAGTCACTCTGCCCAAAGAACGTCCCCTCCCTCATGCCTCACCCAGTGACAAATTCCGTCAGCTCTGCCTCTGAAATGTACTCCCGATTTGCTTCCACCGCCGTCCACTATTTGAAGCCTCTAACTCTTTCTTGAACTGCGTGACAGCCTCCGTGGTAGCCTGACTGCAAAACTGATTGCCCAGCTGCGTAACCCCCTGCACCCCAGCCCTTTGCGGTGGGACTCTGCAGCCCCTTCCTTCCGGGGGTGGCCTAATCCTCCACCCTCAAGTCTGAGCTGACTCTGGGGCCTGCTTTGGCCATTATGGACGGTCACGAGGTGACAGTGTGTCAGCTCTGAGCCTAGGCTCTGCACACTCCTTGGAACCCCGCCACCACCACGGGCGGCAGCCCGGGCCAGCCTAGCAGAGGACGAGATGCAGCGGGCAGAGACCAGCCATGCCAAGCAAGGCCACCCTGGGCCAGCCGACCGTCAGCTAACCCGCTAGCCCGGGCCCAGCCCAGAGCGGAGCCGCTCGGCCGACTGTGGACTTGGGGTGGTCTGTCTTTGACTACGTTTGGGGGTATTCTCTTATGCAGCCATAGCGAATTGACCCACCTCCTCGACTGGCCACGGGCTGTCCCTTCGTCACAGGGTTTCCTCTGGGAAGCCACAGGGATCTCTCCTCTCTTATCCCCTCTGATGACTGCGACTTGAATGAACCCCAACTCCAGCCCATGGCCCACAGAGCCTGACCGAAGCCCTACCCCCCTTCCTCCCCCGGCTTTGGCCACAGTGACCGGCCTCTCGGTCCCATGAACACGCCTTTGCTTTTGCTGTCCTCCTGCTGGAGCTGTCCCTTCTGGGGTGGCACGTGGCCGCCGCCTCCTTATCCACAGAGTAAGTCGACTTTCCCGAGAGGCCTCCGCGGGCCACCCGAGCTCACGTCACGCTCCCCGCCGTCTGCTTGGCCTCTCCGTTCATTCCGCCCGTTTTTATGTTCTCGCCCGTTGCTGAGATTGTTGTCGAGAGACATATTATCCATCGAGCTCCACGAAAGCAAGAATGCTGTTTTCGTTCACCGCTGAATCCGCAGTAGGCCTGACAGCTCCTGGCACAAGGGTGCTCGGTACATGCGTGCCACGTGAATGAATGAATGAATGGCCGCCGCCGAGGGAAAGCCCCCTCCCCCGGCGTTGCTAACAAACCCTCCGTAAACGCACCGTCTGCCCACTGGTCCTCCACGCCAGGCCCCCCGAACCTCCTGCCGGCTCCCCAGCAGGACGTGACGTCCCTGGCCTCTGACCTGCTGCCATGCTGGTCCCTCAGCCTGCCCTCCCCTCCCACGTAAAAGCACGGGGGACTCTTCATTCTTAAATGTTTTACACTAGAAGTATCGACCTCCAAGACGCTTTTCTATCTGCTCTCCCCCGCCCACCCAGGCCTTCGAGGCACTTCGCAGTGCTCATTACACTGTGCTGATGAGGGGGTCGCTTTTGCCGTCAGGACCCTGTGCCCCGTGCGGGCAGGACCAGGCCTCCCCACCCACGGCGGGCCTGGCGAGGCTCGGGAGACATGCGGTGGGTGAGGAAATGGATATGCTCGGAAGCAAATGGCCCCGATGACTGCAAGGTCTGCCCTCTCCCCGCCTGCCTGTGGGTCCAAATCTGCAAAAGGTCAGGGAGAATGTGGGCCCTGGGGGGTCTGGAGGAGCCAGGTGGGGTGCACTGCATATAATTACTGAGTGTCGGATGACATATGTGCTACCCATCAGCCTGACGC